TATAAATTCGATAAGACACTTATAACATCTTTAATAAATCGTGATCTATTTACGATATACAATAAGTACAGTATTTAAATGTCGGAGTTTATTTTATCCCGTTGTGCCAAGTTCATCACACATCCTTAAAGAGAGGGAGAGAAAAATAACACAACCTCTTCACAACCTTCATAAATTTCCCCCTTATTTTACGCAATAAATTTATTTTTAAATATTTGCTACGGTTCCACTTTCCTTTCGATGATTTATTTATATTGTTTGGTGTAGTTCTTTCTCATAAATTCAACTTTGAATATAGAGCGTGTTTGTTTATTGAATATAGAACATTACTTCTTCTACTTAAGTCCTCTGATCAGACGTTTCGGGCGCTTTTTACTTTCTTACTAATTCTAGAACAAGTTAATGATTATATTTTAAAAAAATGGGAATGAAAGAACCTCCGCAAAGCTGCGAAGTGGTGTTCTCTTATAAGACACCGAAAGAACTGAAGGGAATTCGGTAATTATAAATACAATTCGCGTGATGTAACCTGGAAAAAAGTATAAATTTCATGAAAAATCTGCATTGAAATGCTCTTTTTCGGTGATTTAAATCGACTCGATGCTTCTGTTATTTGGAAATTTAATGAGGTATAAAGGAATAATCGTATGTCTTATTAAATATTATGGATTGAAGAAGACGAAGTTTAAGATATTTGCCGAAATATAATGCTAGAGACCCAGATTTAAAGACTTAATTCACAGTAGAAAGGTATGGATTTGTTATAAGTGATGCTGTTTACTGTTTTAAAGTGGAAAAAGTGATATTATTTGTGTGGTGTGACGAAAAGAGACTTTATGGTAGAGTTTTGGCTTAAAGCGAGCGGTGCAGCAGAAGCTACCTGGAAGATTTGAGGAGAACGGGAAGAAGATCGCCGATGACCAGAGAGGGTGTGAATGTTGGGATAGAGCCCGGCGAAGGCGGGGTCCGGCTAACGAAGGTCAGTCGGTATCAATCATCCCGACCCGGTAATTTAGGCACGGCCGTCCAGAGAAATGTCGGGGCATCGCGTCAACAAGCGATCAGGGCGCTTTAATGTGGACGAGCAGACGAGCGGCGCAGCTGCAACCGGGTCGCCCGGACGGATGGTGATGATAGTGATTTGTGCGCGAACAAGCACGGCGCTGCCTGGAAAATAAGGAAGTTTTGCGCTATGTGTAGCTTGAATAATAACGGTCGTGCCGTCCATCCCCTCCTCCGCGTGGAGACATTAGAGCGCACACTCGCTTGGCATTGACAAATCGGCATTGTTTTAAACGACGGACACGTAACGACCGACGTGCCCCCTCCCCGCTCCCTTTGTCAATCAGTCTGGCTGACAGTTCGACTTTTACATAAACCCATTCTGCCGTATCCGCTCGTGCATAAAGTTGCTGACTATAAGTGTCACGGAGGTGACACAATTGTACCATCTGTCGCCAATGATGACCATTTTTTCGGCCGTCTTCCCCCTCTTCGTCGTTTGCTGGCGAGAAGAATCTTTTTTCTTCGACTTGACGTGTTTTGAAGGTGAAGGCTGGATGTCGTCGGAGAAAATAACTCAATTCTGCAGCAGTAGCTCGGAATCCGTAAATTATTCCCCCGTTTCCGGTGATCGATGCTGTAACTTTGACATCCAGTCAATAAATGGACGAGATGTGCCGAAGATTGCCTCCTCCGAAACTGCCCGAGAGCTTCTTCTCCCCGTGTTTCTACTTCTATTAATTATCTTCGTGACACCGACACGCGGCTTCTAGTCATTTGCATAATTTTTTACCTTGTCACCCAAATCGAATCTAACCCCGTCTTCGATCTGGGCGGATCTTTAAATTAGCTTCCACCTGCTCTAGCCACTTGCCATTGATGACCATTTGTCACTAATAAGCCTCACTCCGTCATCGTTAAACGCCATCAAACTTGATTTATATGCCCTCTTCCACTCTTCCTACGAAAATCTGTAAACATTCCACTACTACAACTACTCGAAAATTACGTGCGTAACGTCCGATAACACTAGCAAAATGGCGCCAGTTCTTCCCGAAAACTACCCATAAAGCAGGATTAGGAATAAGGCACGTATCAAATTTCTTACGTACAATCATCAAATTAATTTTCCAATTCACTTAAACTAACAGATTTCCTAAAACTAGCGACCAATCTTTCTTGCAAACGAGCATTTCTTTCTTTCTTTCTTCCTCCTCTTGATTGAAATGACCCGTTACGTGCAGCAATAAGCATCAATTTGTATTAACAAATACGTCTAATAGGAAGCCACCGATTCGTCGGAGAACTCGTTTTAAATAAATTATATATGATTAAATCTCGTCACAATTTATACACCTTATACAACACAAGAACGTTAAAAAGAAAAATATAACATAATGGCCAGTTTTTACCGAAGGATTCGGCGTTACGTAAAAATATTAAAATAATTACAAGGTTGTACTAATCCCTGGCTTTGGTCCGGAAGAAAAACAGAAAGGGGGGGGGGAAGTTTTTCCTTTAATTTTGTTGTCCCAACATCTAATGGGAAAAGTAAAGGACGACGACGTTTGGTCGTTTACCATCTCGTCATTTCCGCTCGCGTTCCATTTGGCGAAGAAAGTAGAGAGGTGACGACGTTTTAATGACTGGCTAGGTGCTGCCTGCCATTATTATGTCAATGAAGTTGATGGTTTGCGAGTAATTGTTGTTTGTCTTTGAATACGCGCGGTTTTTATCTGTCAGCACTCGTCCGATAATAGCTTTACCAATGCTAAACGCCTTCCGACTAATCATCATCCGTCTCTATCTATTAAGACATCAACCCACTCCCTATGGGCGAGTGATGCTCTTCTTACTTTATTTACCGTTCTCCACGTGCTTTAGCAGGTTTTTTTTTTTGCAT